CTACTACTACTCTCTCTCTCTCTCTCTCTCTCTCTCTCTCTCTCTCTCTCTCTCTCTCTCTCTCTCTCTCTCTCTCTCTCTCTCTCTCTCTCTCTCTCTCTCTCTCTCTCTCTCGATTTCGCTACAAAAACGTTTCTCTATTCTCGCTTTCACGTTCACAGAAACGTTTTAACCTTTACGATTGCTCGTGTCAATTCTACGGGAGGATTCTAATTGAACCAATCTCGGATCGAAGTGCCTGACATTTAAAAGCACTTCTCTCTCGTCAAGCGCGAGAGTGCGCGAAGACTTATTCATTATGCGATACGTTAATGCGGGGTCAATTTGAAAAGCCCTAAATCAGATTTGAGACTTTCCAAATAGACGAATGGTCTTGATGCTTATCATTTGAATATTTCAAAATTGTAACAAGCAAGAAAACGAAATAAAGTGAAAAACTTTTCTCGCTTTAAATTTCACAAAATATTCCTCTTTTTGTGATTACGCAACTCGTATAAATTTCTGTTTTGTGTATTATCTTCCAAGAATTTCGCTATACTTTTCTGAAGAAATGATACTAAGTCGTGGCGAGTAGTCTTTGAGAAGTCTTACTGAATGCCGAATAGAGTCTCACAGATGAGAAAGGGAACGCAAAGAAGGATGGGGAAAGGGAACGAGAGTCATGAAAATAGTCAGATTAGTTACTCCGAAGGGATTGGCAAATTGCACGAATCGTCTTATGAGCGTTTCTACCGGTAAATTAGATCGCTCGTAATTCCATCTCTCTACGGAAAACGGAATATATCGTTCATATATGATGATATATAGATATGTGCACGGCTGTAGAGGATGGAAAGGAAGATGAAAATGTAATTGCGATTATCAGAAATGGACATTAATCAAATGTACAAAGGGGATATACGAGGTCAAGTAGCCATTCGTTCCATTTCACAATCGAAAATAAAACTCGGAAACATTCAGTAAAGATCATACATATATGTCTGACGCACCGCATGTGCAATTCTACTCCTCAACACCATGTGACACATGACTCACAAAAATTGTCATTTAAATCACTTGTTCGATGTTTGATATCTTATCATTCCACTTATTCAAATCGTTACTTTTCTTGCATGCAAAAAAATAAAAATTTTTAAACATAAATTTAAAAGCCATTTAAATATAAATATGATAAATATGATAAAACAATTGCAATTATTTGATTATATAAAGATGATTGTATAAATAATTAATCTAATAAAAGTAGTTAAGTAAGTTAATAATTAGCTTGAGTTAATGATTAAATCAAGACAAAAAACAAAAATTATTATTAAAATTCTTTCCGTTTTACGTCTAAAAACTTAGTTTTTAAATATATTGCCACCATGACTTTTCTAGAATGAAACAAACGGTAATTTGTAAGTAAAGTGTGAATAACAATAATATAATTAATCAGTCGGTTCCACTAATACAATAATAGAATATCTCGGAACTTGCACAAGGATTATGTTCTCTCCTAGCGTAATATATAATCTGCATTGATAAACTGAATAGAGAGTTTATTACACCTCGGGTATTCTATCCCAATAATTGAAGAATTAATACCTCTCCAAGGGTATTAAGGACAACCGCGAATACCTCGAAGCAGGTCTTATCGTAAAGCTCTGGACATCTTATCCGTGCGCGCGGTGAAAGTTTATACCGAACTAAAACTATCTATTACTCTTAAAGTTCCTTGAATCGTGTTCCACTGAGAAGAAGAAGAAGAAGAAGACGACGACCAAGAAGAAGAAGACAAAGAGGAACAGGGCAAAGCTGCATCGCCATTCCGATGGTTAATCCATTCGACTACAATGCATCAAATTACCCTTAAGAGAATCTAAAAGCCTTATTTTCCAAGAATATCTCGTCATTTTGCAATATACCGCTATATTGCAGTTCTTGAATGTTAATATATTATTCGCAGCATTTATATCGTTCTCTAGACGGTATATTTTTATTCTAATATCACACTGAAATAGCAGAATTTATATAATATGATAATAAATTATAATATCTTCTAATCCAGAAATTAGATACTACAATTAAATTTCTCATTTGTTTTGATAAATATGATAGCGAATGATATGTATCTCAAACGTACAGGCCACATTAATTTTTTGTACGCGTAAACTATTGGCCAATAAATAGAATTAGATAAACAAATGGGAATTTATTTACGAATTATTGTGGCCCGCATATAGCCCGTTTGAAATAAATGCAAACGTCAATTTATATCATAGTATTTCGTTCAAATATACATTCGTAATATTTCGTTCAAATACACATGTGAAAAGTCGAAAGGCACCGTGCCATCTCGTTAACGATTTCTGCAATTCAAGCACGCTTCCGGTAACTGGATGCATCAAAATCCGTAACCAGCGACGATAGCTACCGTTCGTTACATCCGCGTTAGTTATCTCCAAGCGACCGGTTTCGTCCAATTAAAGTCTCGTAACAAGAGCGACTAAAGAATACAAATCGCAGCATTTACAGTGAAAAATTTCGCAATGTTAAAGAATTCTAAAAAGGGATTGTCAACGCTTTATAACTAACTAAAATATAATTGGAGTATTGGCTGTTGGATTTCAATGTGTCTTTGTAATAATACAAATGTATATAATTTGTTTCATCGGAAGAGCGCTTTTTTTCGGCCTCTTATCAATTATTTCACAAGAGAACCTCCGTAGCATAATGCTATACTTTGTATAAAACTTGATAGTTCCATCAACAACACAACTTGAATTGCTTTAAATCCCGATCTAGTACGAGTCTTAGGTCAGACTTGGCTAACGTGAGTTTCTATTGGCGAAGTTTAGTCGAGTTAAAGAGATCCAGTTCGCACTAAAACAGGGCGTTATGCACTCGAACAACAATAGAGCATGCCTCGGAATGGCGAGAAAAGTGAGAAAAGATGAATCAGCATATCATTCTCACACGTAAGCAATAGAAATGGTAAGTAAGTAACTTAATTTGCCTCTCAAGTAGCCTCATTTCAATTCAACGTCAAAATCGATGTACAAGATAATGGATACAAATTGCATTAATTAATGTATTAAGGAAATTCTATGGTAATATAAATGATCCTGATCTTGGATATATTCCAAGATAATATTAATCGTGAACCTAAATACAGTTTCTGCCAGAAAAGTTGGTAAACGTTATTAGCTTTATTAAAACAAAAAGATTGATAAATGAGAAGAAAAAATTGTCTGATGCGTAGCACGTAGGAAGACAAAAAACAAGAATTGTGGATAAAATAGACGAAAGGAAAAGCGAAAAAAAGTCCGAGGGCAGGACGAAACACGCGAGACCGCCGACTTGGCACGCTAGAAGTGAGAGGATATGGACCGTTTCCGTAAACTATCAAGAAATTGCATTAACATGGTTATCGCCGACAGCAAAGGCGGAGAATTCCCTTAGGATTCGTACAGCTCTTTGATGCGAGAAAACTTTGGTGAAAAAAAAAGAAGCTACGGGGAAAATTGAGTTAACCACTAATAAGTCGTCTCTACCAAGTAAATTCACAACAAATATTTGTTTTTTTTGACTATTTGCATTTTTTTCGCTAGCTTTTCGCGAAGTCAGATGACATAAAATGTAGACGAAGTAAAGTGTAAAAATTAAATTATACGCAACTTGATAAAGCAATAGTCACATTTATACATCGTTATTTGTATACAGAAATTTATAAAGAATTTTATTTTATTTCAATGGGATTGTCATAACATAATTCAAAAATAAAAGAATAGCTGCATTAAATCAGCATAAATTCGAATGCGAAACACGTGGATTTTTTTCGTCAAGAAATTCTTTCTGATATATCATTAGAATAATCCGAGCGAATTTTGTATTCAAAAGTATTGCACCATCGGCTGCGAAATAGTTAAAATGCAGACGCTCGCAACTACTTGTAACTGGCAATAAGTTGTTCACACAAAAAAATATCGGACAGAAAAGTATCGCATGTGACTTTTCTTTTTTCGGTCGTGATTTTATCTATATATTTCTTTCGCTCCGAGTTCTCCATTTTTTTCCAGGTCAGACAAATTAATCGTCCTTTCGGTAATTCCCGCTATGCGTATTCTGATTTTAGCAAAGTTGAACGTGGACAGCAAACGACTGACTCCGCAAAAAAGGTTACGGATCGAATTAAAGCCAATTACGCGAAAGTTTTTGCTCTCTGTCTGATTCATGCGCGTCAGCATTCGAAATTCGTTAATTAATTACGTGAAAGAGAGTGACCACGAGACGATTGTATTCGGGTAAAAAAGTTCCCTGGCAAAAACGGATTCCGGCATACAAAAGTGCGACG